TTCCGGGGTCTGCACACCAAAACTTGGAGAGATTTTTTCTTCTGCTGCTTACCACTCTGCCATTTTCCCAGAAGTCTTGGGCTCTCCTTTTCTAGTGTTTCTGTTTTAATATTTAGATCTTTGATGGATTTCAATTTTAGTTTAATGCGTGGTGATATTCTAGTTTTAGTCTTTAGCATGTGGAGAGCCAGTTTTTCCAGCACCATTTGGGCTATCTTTCTTCCAGTGAACATGTTTGGCCCCTTTTTCAATGATAAGGAAGCTGAGTGTGTTTGTAGTTGTCTCTCATCTTCTAATAGGTTCCACTGCTCCTCAGGTCTTCTTTTATTGTATCATGCTGATTTTATCACAATACAGTTGCCTTTTTGAGAATACAAGGGGGTTCCTGCCTTGACCAAGGTCAAGAAGGAAGGTACTTGACCCCACATTTACATATTCAACATTTCAGCCTTCCAGAAGATTCCTTAGTTTCATCCCTTATCCTCACTGAAATTGGCCTGCTGCTACATAAGTAGTATTCCCAGGAACTTCTTGGGTTGTAATCTAGGAGGGCTTTCTCCTCTATACTTCTCACCTTGCCCTGAAGCACAGGTACTGTTCAAATAAAGACTCATTTTTGCATTCCTGTAAACCTGATTGTAATTTATTTCTCAGGTAGTGTGGGCTCCAAAAGTCTGGCAAATGTACTAAGCAGTTTTATTTTAAGTAGTGTGGACAGAGCAAATAAACACACTTATTAACACTGAAAAACTCCAGAGACCAGTAGCCAGTAAAGACCAGCAGCAGAGATACAGCACCTGACCTATAGTGTTCAGTATAAGCTAGCACTGGACAGTGATAGGTGGCAGTGGTAGAGACACACACACACACACTTAGCAGAATTGATCCATGGTGTTCATCACAAACTGGCATCAAATGATGACAGCTGACAGTGACAGTGTCTAGCAACCAACTGTGTCAATTGTTGACATTCAGTGTTAGCTGATGTCATTTGGTGACCTCAAGAGAACTTTGCCAATTCATGATTTCCATCTGAATTGAGCAAAAGAACCCTTGGCGGCACCATTGTGATCTTCCTGCTTTAGCATCCCAGAGTAATTGTATTAGCTCTGTGATGGCACTCTTGGATCAGAGACTTTTAATTCTTTTTAGACTTTTAACTTTGTTTGTGTTTTTAGAAACAGAATCTGTCTGTGTAGTGCAGGCTGGCCTAGAATTTGTGATCCTCTTGCTTAAGACTGGGATTATGTGTATGTACCACTCTCTGGTTAGACATAATATGCTAAAAGTCTTGGGTTTATAGGTGATTTGGGATTATTGGTAATTGGATTATGGTGGCACTGGGCTCATAAATGGGTTAATCTATTTTGAGTGCCTGGCTGAGTGTTTTATATGAGACAGTTCTGGTAAAAGGAGGTGAGTAATGGAAAAGTACTTGAAAGGCTGTGTTCTTGTCCTTGACGCCTCTTAATCTTTAGTTCCTTGCCACCATTCTGCCAGCATCTTTCCTCCATTTTCTCTTACCATGTCAATTCTGCAGGAGTTAGACCTACTAGAACAATGAACTAAAACAAACCTAGACTTTTATTTTGGGTATTGGTATTACGTGTCAGCAATTAATACAGTCACTATGCCTGGATCGCCTCAGGGTCTTTATACATGTGTTTACTTCAGGACTGCTGTGCTTTAACTCCTCACGTGCCTCCCTCAATCTCATTATCTGCTGATTATCACCTCTTCTTAAAAATAGTTTGTTGTAAAGAGAAAAAAACCAAGTAAAAATAAAACAGAATAAAGCCAATCAAAACAAATCAATGTAAGCAACATAGGACTTCAAAACAATATGAAATCAACAATAGCTATCATAATGCCTCTTGTCTTCAGAATAGCTGCAGATACCTTAAGACATAGTAAAAATCAAACAAAACAGAGGAGAATAGACTCAATAGAAACAAAATAATGAATGCAATAAAGGACTTTAAAACAAGGCAAGGTAAATACATAATGGCTACCATAATATAGCTTGCTATCTTTGAAATAGCTGCTCATACCATCAGATATAACACAGTCAAACAAGGCCAAACAGAATAAAACCCAACCCAACAAAACAATGAAAATGAAACAGGACTTCAAAACAAGATAATAGGGAATCAACAATGGCCACCACCTTCGGAAGGTGATCCCCTATAGATGCCACACTATGTAGTGTTATCCTCTGAATAGATGATCAAACTACCGGCCCTAGAGCTGCAAAGTCAGTGAAACACTAAAATACCACAAGCATCAAATTGCATTTACTTCAATAGCTATCACCACAGCCAGTGTTTCTCTGGATCAGTTGGTGGCTTTTGGGGGAGAGGGTTTGGCTCTTCTTGTTTCCCAGCCTGTGCACTGGAAGGGGCTGGGCCCTGGCTGTTCCCCTGGCGGCAGCAGCCTATGCATGGTGCCAGTTTTCAGGGACTGCTTCTTGGTGAATTTTTGTTCTCTTCCCTTGCAGTCTGTGAATGGTGCTAACTCACAGGGAAAGGCTGGGGTTTGACTTTCTCCCCAGCGGCAGCAGTCCATGCATGGTGCTGGTTCACAAGGAGGGCTTGCTTCTTGGTGAATTCTTGTTCTCTTCCCCCACAGCTCATGAATGGTGCTGGCTAATGGGGAAGGACTAGGCTCTGGATGTCTCCCTGAAGACAGTGACTCGTGCATGGTGCTGGTTTGTTCCAGGGAGTACTGGCTTCTTGGTCTGAGTATCACCTCTTTAAAGCCTTCCCAGATTACATTGTTTACATGGCATCCTTCATCATTCTTTCTTATAATCAATTTTTGTTTTTTTGTATTGATACTGATGGTGGCTAAAGTCAGGCCTTGTATGTGCTACACAGTCTAGCACTGAGGTACAACCATTACTGCAATATGGCACATGGATGCAAAATAAAGATAACAAGAGACAGTTCTGCAGTTAAGGAGTATAGAGAGCCCATCCTGGTCCTTGTCTCAGTGTGGGAAGTATATATTTGTTGTCCCATGGAAAAGTTATTGGAATTCCAATTAGTTAATTCTAATATCTACCACTTCCAGTACAACCCACATTGAGAATAATGACACTAAGACATAGTTATAATTATGGGAAGCCAAGGGGGTCCTAAGTACAGTCAAAATGGTGGTTCACCTAAACAAATGTTTTCTTTCTTTTTTTTTTTTTTTTTGCTTTTTCTTTTTTTATCAGTACCAGGGATCGAACTCACGACTGTCTGCTTGCAAGGCAGGTGCTTATGCCACTGAGCTAAATCCCCAGCCCCTAAACAAATGTTTTGACTGAGGGCTGAACTCTTCTTTTATTCATTCATAAAGAATGGGGTGGCTGGAGGATGAGTGATTGTGAGAATGATAGAAAGTATGTGAGTAGTATGAGCTGATCTTGGTAGAAGGTCTGAAATTACCTTTGCAATATGCAGAGAGTAGGGTCTGCAGAAAGAGTAATCTGCATAACACAATTTGAGATAGTATTGAATGTTTTGGGGTTGATGCTTCAGCTCTGATGTGTAATTTTTTATGCCCTGGGAATTCATAGCCTCTTTTCTCAAAGCTTGGTCCCAGGTGGCAGTGTGGAGCATGGCTCTCCATCCCATTTGGCTCACATGTTTTTTTGGGAACCATCGGGTGGGGAAACACTGTCACGTTGCTTCAAAGACTACATATCAGCACCTCAGTCAGACTGATTTACATTGCTTAATGCCAATTAAAGAGATAAGGAAATGGCCTAGCCAGCTCTGTACATATCAATACATGGAGATAGGGCCAGGTTTAGCCAAAATGGAGATAATTGCTCTTTTTTCAAGGAGAGTCGTCCAGGTAGTCCTCCACAGAGGAGCTTTGGGATGACCAATGTTCTCTGTGGAACAAAAGGCCATGAGTCCAAAAGATCCTGGCTTTTACTGGTATTAATCAAGGATCTGAGTTGGGGGTCACAGCAGAGTGCTGGGGAAAAGAAACTTTGCAGACACTGACTACAAGGAGAAACAGCAATTTTGTACTAGGCACAAAGGCTCTCCAATTAGCAATTCAAGGATAGCTTGAGGTATACAAGGCTGGCACCTTTATTACCAGGAAGGTATAATTCTTTCTGAGACCCATGGCCTCAGCTGAGATATTATTTCATGTCTTAGCCCTGGAATCTCACAGGTTCTTGCTTGAACCACCATTCCAGTCATCAGCAGAGGAACAATACTCATCCACATGCTGTAATGACGCACGTTGGCTTCCTGGCTGAATTTAATAACATTCTTTTAGCCAAGTAAGAGAACATCTGTCTCAATATAGCCCAGCTTTGTATATCTCAGTGAATAGTATTGAAGGAGACATTAGGGAAAGATTGAGGCAACGGACTTCATTTCTCAGGAGATTGAAGCTTTATTGTCTTCCACAAACCATAAACCCAGCTGTTTGTTATTCATCTTATCCTTGAGTAACTTGGTACTTGTACCGCAGGGTCTTGACTGTCTTATTGACCAAAATGTCCCAAGGAACTAGCACAATGTCTGATTTCAAACAGTTCTTCAGACGTATTTGACGTGTGGATAGATAGATGGATGTGTAGACTGTCTAGCATTTTCTCACCTCTGGTCTACTTTTCATAATACACACACACACACATACCAGTGAAACCCTCAACAAGCTCTTTTCATTTTTAATTTTTATGGTACTGGGGATCAAACATAGAACATCACACATGTTAAAATATGCTCTACGCCTGAGCTATACCCTCAGATTGAGGCTATTTAGTCAAGAAATGGTCTGGAACTTGGTCCAAGTCTTTCAGGGATCATTTCAGGGATCATTCCATCAGAAATGGAATCATGAATCTTTTTTGAAGGCAGAAGGCCTGAGTATGAATGTAGTTGAAATAAGGTGTAATGATTGAGAATTTGGATTGGAAAAATTGAATTTCCAGTGACATACTATCACAGAAAATCATTTTATTTAACAGTAAGAAGCTCTCAGGGGACATTAAGGGCATAGAAGAAAGGAGGTAGAAGCCTCAGTGGGATATTCCTGAGAGCACAGGCATGAGGTTCTCTGTGTAGCCTCTGCTACATTTTGTCTTTGTTTGTGCTGGTAGGTGCTGGCTATGACTGATGTCAGGAGTCCATCTGGAACATTGGGCCTCTACCAGGCTACTCTGCAATAGATTCCTTTCAAGATCCATTGTCTCAAGTCTTATTTGTGTGGTTCAGCCAGCAATCTATTATTGGGTCTTCTGGGCATTGTTCATATGACGAATTTTGGGGCTAGGGCCCCCTAGGTTTTGCTTATATTCTTCCCTAAATCGAGGTCTTTTGAGAGCCCTTGTGGATGCTGACTTTTGGGTTTCAGCCTTTGCTGGGGTGACAATGGAAGCATCTCCACAGACCCACCTCAATGTTGGCTTCACGGCTATGGATTTTACTGGAGTGGCGATGGCAGCATCTCCATAAGTCCGGTAGCCACCAACCAGGCAGTAGGTCTCTCCATGCCAGCTCACCTGGGTTTCTCCATATCCTCGGTAGAGGACATGGTAGTAAACAGGTGTAGGAGGAGCTGTGGGCAGCACTGCTGCTAGAAAGAAAACAAGAACTGATCAGTCACTTTTGCTTCATAACTGGTGTGGTCAAGAACTACCATTCTCAAATGCCTGTCTGGCTGAAGCCCACTACTCTACTTGCCATCCCAACTGTAGCCTTGGCCTCTTCCTTCTTTAGGTCATCTAGAAAAGGATGTTAGTTATAAAAGCACTTGGCTTCTGTGAAACTACACAAAAATCAGCAAGAAATCAACAATATTTGGCCTCCATTTGAACAGTGAACAGAAAAACCTGAATAATTACAAATGGGACATCCTGAATTTCTAGGTACTAAAATTAGTCTCAGCTTCCCTTTTCATAACAAATCAATCCTGGGTTGCACTTTCCTTAGATTTCTAGTCTCAGTAGGCCTTTACTTCTCTCCAAGTTTTTAGACCCAGGTGTATGACACACCCTTGTCCTAGCAACTAAGACTGCAATTGTTCTGGACCCATGTGTATATCTTCATGACAGTGTTGTAAAGATGCCTGAGTCTCAAGGCAAAGTTCATGAAAAACTTTCAACAGATCTTCCTCCAACAACTCTTCTTATCACTTGAAGCCAAATATAATCTATTACGAGTCCTCCAAAGAAAGCTTTTTTTTGGTACTGGGAATCAAACTCAAGACCTTGCATTTTCCAGGAAGGTACTGTGCCACTGAGCTATATCCTCAGCCCAAAAGTATTTTTTTAAAAGATGGGATTTTTACTATGTTGCCCAGCCTTGTTTCTAACTTCTGGATTGAGTTACCCTTGCAGTTTAGCCTTATGAATAAGGGTTCAGATTATAAATGCCTCTTCTGCACCCAGATATGAAGGAAGCATCTTGTTGCCCAAAGGAGAGGATACATTTATTATAATTTGAGCCTTTCTGAACGCTTGCTCAGAAATGAACATCCCTAGCCTGCAGATTGAGTAGTAACACTCCAGGACTGTAACTGAATTCTGACTAGGGAAGATTGGAGGTATGGGAGAAAAAAAATAAAAGGAAGCTGCATATACACCAAGATCTTGTGTAGATATCTGGCCTGAGCCTACCTGCTGCACTGCCCTCCCATGGGACAGATGACAAGTTAGCCTGAAGATAGATGATCTGGTCAGACATTCTCTTCCAGACAACCAAAAATATTGGTGTTTAGTAGAGAAATAGTAGGTTTCTCACAGGATAATAGGTTTCCTCACAGTTGAGTAGATTCCCTACCATGGAAACCAGGAGACCTGTGATGTCGTCACCAACTAGTGAGGTCGCATGTGGAATCCTGAGTTGAGGACAGGCTCTAGGCTGCCAGTGATTGGTGGAAGAGACCAGGGAGAAAAGACAGAAAATAATTTCTAGATTCTTATCTGTCCTCCTTAACCACATCCTTGTCAGTAGCCACTTTTTATATAGCACTCCTGTGGGTGGTCATACTCCTAGTGACCACAGAAGGGCAAGAAAATCCCAAATAGAGTGGAAAGAGAGTCAAGATCAATCCAAGACAGAAGAGAAACTATCCCTTCCCATGAAGTAAGTGATGCCATGCTGATTGAATGAGCCCCAGCCAGAAAAGAAACTACATCTTCTCATGAGCCAGTCAGTGGATTGGCTGAAAAACCAGTGGAGCATCCGCAAGCCCGTGATTTGGAGGATTCACCCTGAGTCCTTCATGATAGCAACTAAGGGGAGGGGAGTAGCTCAATGCTTGTCTTGTTTGGTGAACTCTGCAGGCCTGGGGCTGGTGGTCAGGGCTGGAGGATGGTAGTGTGCATTGTGTCAACTGTGGGGGATATCCTCCTGTCTTGTTTTGAAATACAATGTTTTGGTCCATTTTACTGTTTTGTTTTATTCCTGCGTCTGGTAACCTGAGCAACTATTTTGAAGATAACAATGTGCAGTATTGTTTACTGTTTTGTTTTGCTCCTACTTATTATTTTATTTTATTCAATATTATATTTTGATTTTATTCTGTTTTGTTTTATTTGATTTTGCTGTGTCTGATGGTATGGACAAGTATTGTGAAGATAGTAAGATATATTATGATAGCTATTGTTGACTTCCTATTGTCCTGTTTTTAAGTTCTATAACACTGTCATTGCTGTTTTGACTGGCTTTATTCTGTTTTGTTCTCTTTAAAATAAAAAAGATTAATTCAGGAGACAAGTTGCAATTCTCTGACCTTGGGAATTCAGCAGAGAGGCAGAGATTTGGGTAGATTAGTAGATAAGAGAACACACCTCAGAGTTGTGCTTAAAGCATAAGTGAGATCTGGATATGTGTCAAAGAGAGACTTTACAGAGTTGTGAGAATTATAAAATTAAAGACCATGCCATAGTGATTTTTTTCTTATACATGTGGAAGATTCAGGTCTTTAAAATGAGTTCTCAAAGAAATCATTGAGGGAACAGAGTCTGATCAAGGTAACATTGGTAGTAGAGTGAAATTCTGTTCCATGGTGGGGTCTCATACAGTTCATGGCTTTTGAAAGTGCCAGATCTGTGGAAGGAAGTTCAAGTAGTTCCATGGAAAATGAGGATCTGCAATGACTTAACAAGGCAAAACGGCAGGTCCATTGTAACATGAAGTCCTTCTGTGGTATAATATTTAAACTAGTCAAAATCAGGCTTTCTGTGGCCTAGTGTTCCTCATTGAGGATACCAATTGTGCAAGGCCTCTCAACAGCTGCTCATTCAATTCTTTAGTATTTTTAGACAGGGCCTTGCTATCTAGTCCAGGCTAGTCTTGCACTTACGGTGATCCTCTTGCCTCAGCCTCTGAGTGCTGAGATTTACAGCCATGTACCAGCATGCCCAGTTCAATCTTTTGAATGAAGCATAAGTCTCAGGGTTGAGTCACAATGTTGATAATGATGTCTGACATTCTCTGCTCTGTGGAGATTATTTTACAAGGTGAAAACTAAGTCATAATTGACCAGTTCCTCTAGGGTACTGTTCAATCCCAGAGAACCGATGTCTGTACAGAGAAGTGTGTCTCTGAAGGCAACCACTGGAAGATCCTTTCCCCCATGTTAGTGGGCATGTGTCCCTGCAGCCCTACATTATGGATTTTATGGTTTTCTAGAACATTTACTAACCTGTTGTCCAGTTACTAAGTTGGCCATTCTGGGATCCAACTTGTGACTCTTCTGCCTCAGCCTTCCCAGTGTGCTGGGATCACATGGGCAATCCACATGTGACTTTCTCCTGTGTCCACAATGTGGTGTTGCTGGAGGTGGAGGGAAACTGGGGAGGCTTGTGATGTAGGAGCTGTTTCTCAAAACATAACTATATTGGAGAATTTCAGGTCATGGAAACTCTGCTAATTCCAAACCTTCTCTGGTGACTTCTCTACTAACGGGCACATGGGGAAGCCTTGCTGCCCTCTCAGATCACACCTCTTCCTCTCTTTCTCCTCCTCAAGAAGTCCGTGGTGGTTATCAGCTGTGGAGCTGGGCAGTGAAGTCAGCAAGGCCACCATAATGCTATTGTGACACCTGGCAACCCTCACTGGCATACAGCAAGGCCATAAATAGCATTCCTTGAGGAGCGAATGCCCTGGAGGCTGTTGTCACCTCTTCCTTCCTGCTGCCAGCATGTAGTGTAAGACTGTGTGTGTGAGCAGCCCTGAGACTCAGGGCTGAGAACTGTGCTGTGAGTTCAAGGTGTGCTAGCGCATTCTATTCTGTACACTAGAGAGAGTATTTTCAAAATAAGAAAAACGAGTTGCAGGGTAGGTAAAGGAACACAGTGATACTCACCTGGGCAAGACATATAGAGATGATGTGAGTCCTTCCACTGTCAGGTGATGTCCCTCATATCAGGAGGTGATGTCTTTCTCATAAGCAGGGCCCTCCACTGCTTACATCATCCACTTGTCTAGATATCCTTTGATGATCACTCACTGGTACTGGCACATTATGGGGTTTGCAGTGAGGTGGCAGAGCAAGTCTTTATTGATTGTACTTAAGTCAACATGCTGTTCACAGGCTGCATCCCACAGCCCCCCTTGCATTAGGTTTCTGTGTTCACAGCCTCCTTCCTTGGCTTGACTTCATGGCTGCCCCAAGTGGGGTTACTTTGTGTAGCTGAATATCTGAACTTTCACTCCTGCCCATTTAGATGGGCATCAGGTTATACCTGAGATGCTTTTATCATTTTTTTGTTTGTTTTTAGTTTTGGATTTTTTTTTTGAGACATTCTCTGACTATGGAATCCAGGCTGACTTCTAACTCAAGAATCTTTTGTCTCAGCCTTCTGATTGCTCAGATAACACATGTGAACTACCACACCTGGGTAAGTTTTCCATATTTTGGGTTTTTCTGATTGTATCCCATGGTGACGTTATACATGTTTATCTATTGTTTTTCCTTTAGCCTCATAGTTGTGGAAATCTTTTATGCATAGAAAGATTCATTCATTCATTTAAAGACAGGTCCAACATGTTGATTAGGCTGACCTCTAACTTGGTCACTTAAGTCATCTTCTTTCTTCAGCCTCCTAAGTAGCTGAGATTATAGGTAAGTACGAGTGTTGGGATTACAAGAAGCTTTTACAAGTATGAATTTCCAGATGCTCATGCTGTAATATCATTTGGTCTGGCCTGAGTGCTGGAGATCCCTCATTCCTAAGGGCTCTGTGTGAGCATGTTTTTTCATGTTTGGAAATTATCAACCCAGTTCCACCAGTGAATGCAAATATGTTCCAATCACATCAAGTATCAGGGAGGAACTGTTTGGGGGTTATGGTTTACATCTAGATATACTCCCCAAACCTTATATGCTCGTAGGTGTGGCTATGTTGGTTCTGCCTACCCAGGCAGAAGGAATGTCTATTTTCTAGTATTCTCTTTGATCTCTTTTTGCAGAGTATAGTAGTTTTCATTATAGAAGTCTTTCGCTTTCTTGACTAGGTTGACTCCTAAGTATTTCATTTTATTTTATATACTGTGATATATTTGTTTTCCTAATTTTTCTCTCAGTGAGTTATTATTGGTGTGCAGGAATGCTAGTAACTTTTGAGTGTTGACTTTATATCCCACTTGTACTTTACTGAATTTAGTTATCAATTCTAGGAGTCTTTTGGTGGACTTTTTTGGTGGTCTTCTATGTAGAGGATCATATAATCTGCAAATAATGAGTTTAATTTCTTTCATATATATATGACCAATTCAATCCTCTATAGCAAGTTTATGTGCCAGGGATGAGACTCAGTGCTGATGGTTGCTGGCCCGGTGCTCCCCACACACTCATGCTCTCTGCTCTATAAATGTCACTTTCAGAGTAAGAGAGAAATCATAACCAACAAGCAGCTCTCCTGTGTGCTGTCTGACCCCTTACCGAGAAGTTTGTCTCGGCAGCCCTTCTGCAACCACTGGAAAATACCTATTTTCTTTAAAGCAGCCACTTGTCCCTTCACCTTTTGGTGGTGGATTTTGAAGTCATGCAGGATGTTTACTAGCCAAGTTGCCCAGGATTCACTTAATCTTTTGATCTTCCTGCCTTTGATTCCATCTTGTAGATTACGTATGTGGGCCACTTTGCTTGGGTTTGTGTTGTATCCTTGAAGCTGGGGATGAATGGAAATTATAGTGGCCTGGGGATCAGGAGCTGTTTCCAGCAAGACATTCAAGGATGATTCTTTTTTTTTTTTTTTTTTTTTTTTTGGTGTTTTTGAGACAGGGTGTTGCCATGCAGTTCAGGCTGGCCTTAAGCTCACGTTTTGTTGAAGAGTGAGTATGATTGACCCTCAGGAGGTGTCTGCCTACACTTCCATTTTGTAGCAAGGGCATCTGGTAAGAGTGACTATGATATCAGTCAAAGTGACTGTGAGCCCAGAGCTGTGCTACCAGTTAAATGTGTATTAGTCCATTTAATCCTGCTCACAAGGGAGGGTTTTTCACCAGCCTCATTTTGTAGGTGAGAAAACTGAACTTCAAGGCATGCAGAGAATACACAGATTTTCTCCTAGCTAAGGTACATGAAAGTTTCTCAAATTCCTCTAGTTGTGGTGCTATGCCTCTCCACAGGAGGGCCTCCACTTCCTACATCAATCCATTTGTGTAAACATCCTTTGCTGGTCACCCACTTGTGCTGACCCTTTGCTAGAGTGTGCAGTAAGGTGGCAGGACAAGTGTCATCACACTTCTTGGCATAAATATGCAGAAGGCACGCATTGGTGGTCACAGGTTCTTGAAGCAACACCTTGGGCAACATCAAGCATGTGTGGTTACATAGTTAGCCTCAAGGTCAGTCTTGCTATCTCTGTGGCTTGACCTGGCCACCCTATCCACTCATTTCAGGCAGTAGCACCTGT